TCAGTTAAGTGTCCAATTCTTGATTTAGGCTCAGGTCATGATCTTATGGTTGGTGAGTTTGAGCCCCGCATCAGGCTCTGTGCTGGCAGTGTGGAGCCTGCTTGGGATTGTCTCTCTCCCTTCCCTCTCTGCCCCTACCCTGCTTGCTCTCTCTCTCAAAATAAATAAAAACTTAAAAAAAAAAAATCTTTTTTTAATGGAAAACATGGCATTTAACCACATATATTCTCTGGCTTATAACAATAGATATCTAGTAGGTAAAATTGAGAATAGAGCTTGTTGGCTCAAACAGGAGTAAGTATTCTGTCTCTCAATTTAGGGTATCTGGAGAACAACTAACCTAGAAGGGTATCTCCTGTTGTGTTTAAATTTAGACAGTATATAATATTCTGATACTCTGGATCCTTGTATCTCTAAATATCTAATCCAGGTATCTCTGATTGGCTGCCAGGGATTTAAGTGCAGAATTCACTCTCTCACAAAACAACATAATAATCAGCAATAAGGCAGAGTGGACAAACACATTAGTACTACACTCCAGGCACACTTTAAATTAAACATGCTTTTCAAGCATTCTGAGTTTATAACTTTTAAAAATATTCAAATGTAACTCATTGGTTGAAAACTGTCTCAAGCCTAGATTTAATCAGCCACAAGTAACCTAAATTCCTGAACTATTAACCTCAAAGTAATAAGATATATCATAAACTTGAAGTTAACATAGTTCTGCTGTTGACTATTAATTTCTACCTGAAGGTGTACTTTTCTTAATTTCAGATCTTTTTCTATTAGTTGTTTTTTTTTTTTTTTAAGTTTATTTATTTATTCTGAGAGAAAGAGAAAGCACAAGTCAGGGAGGGGCAGAGAGAGGGAGAGACAGAATCCTAAGCAGGCTTTGCACTGTCAGTGCAGGGCCTGACACAGGGCTTGAACCCGCAAACTGTGAGATCATGACCTTAGCTAAAGTCAGACACTTAACTGACTGAGCCATCCAGGAGCCCCTCTATTAGTTTCTTGTCACCACTCAACATAAACTTTTATTAAAAATACTTACTTGACTTAGTATTTCCAAGACAATTAATTTTAGTTCAGAATAGAGCTTAGGTTAAATAGTCATGACAATCTTCAGTTTTAAACACCAGCCAGTTTCTAACCAACAGTACCCCTACTCTATATGCAGGGAACAAAGTCTTCTGGTTTGGAGCAAAAAACAAAGACTTCTTAACTCCTAAAATTAATAAAAGTATTTAAGGTATTTTTAAATTTATGTTTTCTAACTATACTGTTTTCTCTTATATCAGAAAGTCACCTATTAGAAATAGGAGAAACAAAATTTTGATTAAACAAAAACCTTAAATATAAAACAGGAAATGTTATATGAATATAGATTTTTATCCAGTGGATATAAACACAATTGTTAGGCTGATTATGCTGAGATTTCCAGATTTCATCATTTCTTTTTACTTGTTAAATAATAGACAAGTACCACATTCTGTTTCAATAAACTTTCAAAGATTAGTGCTATACTTTAATAGAAATGTCTCCAAAACTTAAGGATGTGCACCAAAATTTAGTTTTAAGAATGTGAATCTATTTTGGGGCTCCTGCGTGGTTCAGTCAGTTAAGCATCTGACTTTGTTCAGGTCACGATCTCAAGGTTCGTGGATTCGAGCCCTGGAGCCTGCTTCAGATTCTGTCTCCCTCTCTCTCTGCCCCTCCCCACTTATGTTCTGTCTGTCTGTCTCTCAAAAATAATAAACATTAAAAAATTAAAAAAAAAAAAGAATATGAATCTATTTTGAATACAATGTTAAAATTCCAAAGGCAGTTATTGATTATTCTCTCCAAAAGCATGAACAGGATATATTTGGTATATCTGCAATGTTTCCAGTGATTAACAATAGCCTATGTGTCTTTAACAATAATGAAAACTGGAAACTACACAGATATCTGAGAATTGGGGACTGCTTAAATAAGATATGATAGCCAGATAATGGAGTATTAATTTAGCCAGTAAAAGCTAAGATGTTCAGTTCAAATTAAACAAGTCACTAAACAGTGTATACAGTAGTATAGTCCCATTTTTGTTTAAAAAAGTTAAAAAAGCCTATGTGTACAATGGTAAGATCATGGGTGCCTCAACTTCAGTGCATTCTTTTTCTACACTGGTTTTGTAATAATTTTGTCCCCAGAATAATTTAAACTGTTTCATATCAGAGTGCAAATAATACCTTAATTTCATAACAACAACAACAAAAGAGTGGAGGTCAGCAGATAAGTAACTAACTCTAGATAGACTTAGCTATAAACATCCATGAGTTAGTTGAACTAGGGGTAGGAAGTCAAATGATATCAGACTATCATGTCAAACAGGCAAATTACTGACACTAAATTTTATATGATTCAATACTTTCTGTAACCTATTGAGTTAAAATTCCAGAGAATTTTTGTTCGGAGGCAATTCTCTATGGGTCTCCACTGTTTCTAGATGCCTTACAAGCAAGGCATTCAGCACTCTATGCTCTGGGCTGTGCTGTCAAAAATGCATATATACTGAAAGGCATGCTTAATGTTCACTATAATAAACATTATGGTTCCCTAAGCTCAGGGTTCTGGTCCTGTAATGCAACACACTCCAAGTGCAGGCGATTTCTGCCTCTTTGCATCACCCTGTGGCAAGTGGGGCAACAGTGCTAATATTCTGGCTACTGCCACCGCTGTAAGTAATTCATCTGTGCTCTAGGGGTCTATGTCTTCTACAAAACTGTCGCAGGCTAAGTTGTTAGCGCGCAAGCAGGATAAAATCTCTGACTCTTCCAAGTTCTTGACATTTTTACAACTATGCTTCCAAAAAAACCACCGCCACCAACGCTGTATGTGCAAAAACTAGTTTCTGTCAACAAATATTTTATTAATCTTTTCATACTTACCAGCATTATTATGGTGGTACCTCTGATAGAAAACCTGAAGAAAAATAGGACAACTATGTGTTAGAACCTTAATGATTAAAAATCTTACCTCCTTTCACTTTGAGTGACTCTACTTTGGTGCCTAATGTGTAGGTGTCCTAGCCAACTAGCTTATAATGATATCATTTGTACCTCGATGTGTCAGAAAAGGATCTTCTGAAAACAAGCCTGCATCCACTCTTAACAGATTTTTGTGCCCTTAGTGGTCTGGCTGGTCCCACAAATGCATTCAATTTACATTGAATTGTATTGTATTTACTAAAAAATGCATTGTATTTACTAAGCAATTTGAAGGATCTTAAAGATCCTAATATCAATGTTCCGGCACAACATCCAAGTTTTAACATTCCTTTTTTTTTTTTTTAATTTTTTTTAAATATAAGCTTCATCTAGCTCGGATCATGGCTTAGAAGCCAAAGTCTTTACAAACAGATTTTCTGTCAATTAATCTCTGGGTTTTTCTGGAAGGGAGGCCTTTGCCCTCCACCTTCCACCCGCGAGGAGATCGGTGGGCCGCACACACCAAGCATAGGCCTCGCTCTCCCACACACCTGCCGGCCCGCCCCGAACGTAGGTGCAGGCACCTCGTTGGGGGTCATCTCCCGTGAGGATCGCGTTGGATGAGGCTGGGAGCACCCGGCCGGGCCGGGTCCCCAGGGCTCCTCGCCAACCCAGACGTCGGCAGCCGTCCTGGCCTCCGAGCCGCTTCCGCGGACTCTGCCCTCCGACCTTGTTCCTGTGCCTGCCCGCGAGGGGCACCCCACCCGCACGCTGAGCCTCGACTTCCTGCGCAGGCGCATCCGGGGTTCGCTAGCCCCAAGGCGGACTGCAGTGCGTTCACCATTCCTCGGTGGCGCCCTCGTCACTTCCGGCGGCGTTGCTTAGCAACCGCACAGTTTGGCTAACACTAGACCAGCAGGACTCCTACACTCCCCGTCTCGGAGTAGCTTGGAAAGCCAGATAGCGCCAAGGGCATGTCGTCAGAGATGCTGGTGCGGTTCGGAAGGCGCTCTGGACAGGCGAAGGAAAACACAGGTGAGCTAAACTCGCCTCTCCAGGCACAGGGATTGCTCTGGCCTCCAGGCATACGGTAAGAGGCAAGGGTGCCAAATCAGAGTTTAGGTTACTTTTTGAAATGGGCTGCACCAAATCCAAAGCATCCCCATGGGTATCGTTGGGCTCTGTGTAAATGAACAGTTTTGTCTTCATATGATTGGGTAGGTGAGAAAAGTTTACAAATAGGAGCGGAGGAAAGAGAAGTTAGAGACTCCCACTTGACCAGCTGGTCTGAGCCTTGAGCTGTGTAGTTGCAGTTCCAAGTGTCTGGTATTTGCTGAATTCCCTTAAGCGTTTGTTATTCATTGAGTGAATTGGAATATCTTTTGGAAGTATCAATGACCTCATTAGAATCTTGACCCTGCTGTGAACCTACTGAGTGCTGTTAGGAAAGTCTTTCATGGAAATGTCTCAATTTCCTCATCTCTAAAGTGAAGGAGTGTAAAAAATAATGCTACTTAGGTATTATAATCTAGGTGACTTGTTATAAAAGTTTGATTTTTGAATACAAGTAGCCTAGGGGGACATCTAAAGAACTCTAACAATTCGAATGATTTTGCTTTCTTAAGTATGTAAATTCCCAATTAATGTTGCAATGATGACCACCAGAACCTTGGGAGTTTGGACTGAGTTCATGTCATCACCTGAGCTTTTGTAGCAGTAGAGCCTCGTTCTGCCAGATGCAGAGTGAGAGCCAGCCATTATCCCTTCAGTGGACACTACAGGGTATTTATGCAGTGAAGGACTTACGAAGTCCTGACATGTAGGAGAGAGACAGTAACCATGTGACATATAGTGAAACAACAACAACAACAACAACAACAACAACAACTATTACTCTCACATACTTTCTTACATACACAGTACTATAAAAGACTTAGATTTATGTGATAGGTTTTAAAAAATGTTTTGTGTAACTTGGTCCAAAAGTTCCTATCTGAGCCTCACTGCTAAATTATAATTTACATTTAGAAGTGTGTGAAGTAGGAGAGGGGTTCAGATATGTAGACAACTATCTGTAAAACAAATAATTATCTAAAGATTTAATGGAATGACATCAGCCAGAATGGTGGAATAAGGATCTCCAAAAATCCTCTTCTCTATTAAATCGAAAAGAACCCCGGGGCACCTGGTTGGCTCAGTCAGAAGAGCATATGACTAGATCTTGGGGTAGTGAGTTCAAGCCCCATGTTGGGTGTAAAGCCCACTTTAAAAATTTTTATTTTTAAAAACAACACTGACAAAAATCGTCAAAACCAAAATTTTTTTTCTTTAGAACTCAGGAGATTAACCAAAGGCTTGTAACAATTGAAGAGTGTTTTATCAGGAAAAATAGCTGAATCTTGGTAACAACAGTAAGTTTTTTGGCATTTTAACTTGCTCTTGTCCCATACTTTTTTCCTAGCCCCATGGAAGTCTAGAAAACCACTGCAACCACAGTGAATGCCAGTGGCTTAGTAACCTGTGGAGGGGGAAGGAAAGGATTGGATTCTCTCCACAGCCTTTTTTTAGATAACTATTATTTTACCTGTCTCACAGTTCCCTGGAAAATCCTACTGAAAATGCTTAATTTTATTTTACCTGACTCAGAGCTCACTGGGAATGTTTGTTAAAACAATTATTGACAATTTTTTAAACATCACAACTGCCTGAAGTAGTGATCACTGTTGGTTGTAAACAAGCTGACCAAAAACTTTAAAAGAACACCTGGGAAATGAGATGTCCATAAAGGGCTTTGAGAAGCTCCCTACATATTCCTGGGAGTCCAGAAGGACAAATGCATGCATAGTGCTATACACATGCCCAGGAAATACCTGAGAATTTAGCTTTCACCTCTAGCTAAATTTGAGGCTCAATGCAAGAAAAAAGTAAAGGCTAAGACAGTTGTAAACTACCTGCCTGAGCATTGAAGTCATGCTCCAGCACTCACAGAGAGTTTCTTGGCAAAGGCTGGGAGATTTATTTAAGGAAATTAAATTTAATTTAAGGAAACTTCTGGGGCACCTGGGTGGCTCAGTTGGTTAAGCGTCCAACTTCAGCTCAGGTCATGATCTCACAGTTTGTGGGTTCCATCCCTGCATTGGGCTCTGTGCTAATGGCTTGGAGTCTGGAGCCTGCTGTGGATTCTGTGTCTCCCTCTCTCTCTGCCCCTAACCCACTCACATTCTGTCTCTGTCTCTCTTAAAAATAAAAAAAAATTTTAAAAAAAGCTTAATTTAAGGAAACTCTGTCCAATTATTAGCTGACATTTAAGCTAACCAAGCTGAGATTCCAAAAGCCACATACAGCAAAGAATACAGACTTTACAGGTTTAGTTCAGGAAAATCACTAAACAAACCACAACAGCAATAAAAACAAACTTTGGGTGTGTGGGGAATCTGATATCTAGAGTTGCCACATGTTATTTAAAATTTACAACTTTCTGGGGCGCCTGGGTGGCGCAGTCGGTTAAGCATCCAACTTCAGCCAGGTCACGATCTGGTGGTCCGTGAGTTCGAGCCCCGCGTCGGGCTCTGGGCTGATGGCTCAGAGCCTGGAGCCTGTTTCCGATTCTGTGTCTCCCTCTCTCTCTGCCCCTCCCCCGTTCATGCTCTGTCTCTCTCTGTCCCAAAAATAAAAAATAAACGTTGAAAAAAAAATTAAAAAAAATAAAATAAAATTTACAACTTTCAACAAAAATGACAAAGCATGCTAAAAAATAAGAAAGAAGTTTGAATAGGAACTGTTCCTGAGGAAGCCCACGTTAGACTTACTAAACAGTTTCTTTTGTAAATTTACAGTTACTGTGAATATGTTCAAAGAACTAAATGTCAAAGGAACTACAGGAAAGTATTAAGAATGTTGTCTCACAATATAGAGCATATAAATAAAGAGATAGAGATTATAAAGAGAAACCAAATAGAAACTTTGGAGTTGAAAAGCACAATAGTTTCAATGAAAAATTCACTAGCGGGGCTCAAAAGCAGATTTGAGCTTGCAAAAGAAAAAACTCAAAGAACTTGATCATATATTGATTGAGATTGTCCAGTCTAAGGAATAGAAAGAAAAAAAGAATGAATAGAAATGAGCAGATCCTCAGAGAAATATAGGACACCAACAAGTATACCAAGATGTATATAATTTGAGTCTTAGAAGGAGAGGAGTAGAGAAAGGGGTAGAAGAAGTAATGGCTGTAAACTTCACAAATTTGATGAAAAACATTAATCTATACGTTCAAGAGCTCATTGATCCTCTAAAATGGATAAACTCAAACAGATCCAGAACCAGACACATCATGATCAAACTGTCAAAAGACAAAAGGAAAGACAATCTTGAAAGCAGCAAGAGAGAACAAATGCAACACATAAAAGTCGGCCTCAATAAGATTAGCTGATTTCTGCTAAGAAACTATGGAAGCCGGAAGACAGACGGTTGACATATTCAAGGTATTAACTGAAGAAGACTTAAAGATTTTTTATCCATGAAAACTGTTAAAATATTTCCATGTCCTGGCTGGCTCAGTCAGTTAAGCATCAGGCTTTGTCTCAGGTCATGATCTCACAGTTTGTGGGTTTGAGCCCCACATCGAGCTCTGCTCTGACAGTGCAGAACCTGCTTGGGATTCTCTCTCTCTCTCCCTCTCTCTCTCTGTCCCTCCCCAGCTTGCGCTTTCTCTCTCTCTCTCAAAAATAAATAAATAAACTTTAAAATATATATATATATTTCCAGGTAAACAAAAATATCAAATTCATTGCTGGCAGACCTACCCTACACATAGCTGACCTACACATAGACCTACATATAGCTGAATTTAGATATAACTTGATCCAGGACACTATTCTATCTATCAGCTTTGCTTAGCTTTATTCTCTAGGTGGGGACTTGGTATGTGATAGGTAAGATGGTACCTGTGGTTCTAAATTCACTCTTTACTTCAGCAACCAATTGCTCAGTTCCATCAACTTTAATTCAAACCCCAAGAAGACTCTAATTGATCCTGGCAGCTTTTCTCTCAGTATCTTCATCTCTTTCTGGAGCTATGTGATTTCTTGCTTTTGCTTTTCTCTGTACTTTTGTTTCATTTCATCTAATAATAATAATAGTAAACATATTAATAGCTAATGCTTATCGAGAACATTTTGTGTGCCACACATTATTCTAAATTATTTGCACACACAAGTTCATTTAATTCTCACATCATCCATATAACATAGGTCCTATTAATATCTCCATTTTGCAATTAAGGAATTAGAGAGTTAAATACTTTTGTCTACAGGGACACCTTGGTGGCTCATTCGGTTGAGTGACTGATTTTGGCTCAGGTCTTGATCTCATGGCTCATGAATTGAAGCCCTGCTTTGGGCTTGCTGCTATCAGTGTAGAGCCTGCTTTGGATCATCCGTCTCCCTCGCTCTCTCTGTCCCTCCCTTGCTCGCACTCTCTCTTTCTCAACAATTAATAAACATTAAAAAAAGTAATTTTGTCTAGATTTACATAGTTCATACGTGGTATGTTCATTTAGGATGCTTTTTAATTCATATATAGAATACCCAACTCAATCATGTTTAAAAATAAGGACATTTATTTGCTCATATAACAGGAACTCCAGGTTTCAGGTCTAATTGATCTAGCATCATAATGAGATCCTCATTGCCCCATGTTCCCCCTTTGTTTTTTCTTTGTGGTTCACAGTAACAGCTTTATCAT